AAAATGTTGTTATGGATATCTGATTTAAAATCGATTCTTTCGCCTAATGGTAAATCCGGTTGAAAGTTTTTTAAGGAATAAATCTAAAATTGATTTAGTATAACAAATATAATAAAATATGATTCGAAAAAAAAAACACTTACGGAACCGTTCACACAGGCAATGACCGAGTTTTGAAATGATTTTAGATTATAAACAACACCAGGTAATTGAACTTGATCTAATAATTCACATTTTCGATCTTTTATATCAAATACGAGAATTCTACCTAGATTTTTATCGGGATCGTCACTGTTTTCAATGATTGTACCAACAAATAAAAATTCTTGATTTGGATATGCGGCAAATGTTGTCATGGCCATACTTTCAACAATTTCATTATTTGGTAAATGATATACATCCAAAACTAAAACAAATGTGTGTGTGTGTGTGTGTGTGTGTAAGCATCATTGTATTCATAATAATAAAATTTTAATACTTTACCATGAAAAGTCTGTGCGTCAAGAATTTGAATTTTACCAACATGTTTGATAAAGCCATTATTCATGTCTTTTTGGTTTAAGATGGTACCTACAGCCAATACTTTGGAAACGGTTGAATATTGAATCCGAATAGGCATTTCACCATTTAAAGTGACTTTTGTATGATGCAGTTTTTGAGAAGTGTCTGTTTGACCAATGGATAATCCATGTTCGGTCATTAATATAATCATACCATAAAAAGGTGCGATTGCATAAACATTCTATATTTAAAGATGAAACATTTTTTTTTAAAAAAAAATAAGGAATGATTTACAACAACTTTTTTTTTTTTTTGCTTTTTTTTTTTTACCTTTAAATTGACAGCGGAAAAAAATAATTTATGATATCGACTGGTGACGATAGTAGGTCGAATACCGGTAATAAAAATCTTTTGTTCTCCATCGTGTAGAAAGGGGTACATGGCAGTACAGTAAGTTCCAACCATTGTTTGTCGTGTCTCTGATAAATTAGGTGTTGAATGATTGAAGTATATTTTACTCGTCAAGACCTTTCCATCCCCTTTATACATTTTTTAGATTTTTTTTTCTTTTTTTTTTTTACATGTAAAGTTGCATCTGTATATATTACCTAATAGAATCATCAAGTATTGAATTTTTTCTAATTTAATTAAAAGTACATCTTTTGGACCGGTTACAGAACCTAATGCATGTTCAAATACAGGGTTCAAATTGGGTAACTGCAATATTTTTATCATGGATTTAGACCACATGCCTACAGTGACAAAATCTTTATCTGTACCGTTCTCGTGTTTGGGGCTTAAATGGATGCATGCAATATCTGGAAATTGTTTGACACTATATTATGAGGTGAGAAAAAAAAAAATGTACAAGTTATAAATTATATATATATATATATATTACCAAATTGGCAACAGTGCATTATCTGTGATATCTAAATAAACAAGCGTCCCTTTTCCACAACAAAGTATACATTGAGTTGAATTTACTTTAGCGATTGAAATCTTTTCACCATTTGCAGGTATCCATTCAGATAAAATTCTACCCTTTGGATCATCCATGACCAGACGAACAGAAAAGGGCGTGACTTGAACAATGTTCTTATTGAAAGTGACAGCAATATCCAAAGTAACTAGATTGAAGACTAAACCAGAATAGGCTTGATATTCTCTTAATTCGTTTAGATTATGTTTACTTGATGTCTTTAAGAGAATAGTCTCTAACGCGGTGGAAACAACGAGTATATTTGAATCTAGGCTCCAGATATTATTTACAAGTGGAATGTTTAATTGATGTTTCTCAATGAATCCAACCCCGTTTTCAACTACGCGAAGACTCCCTTCTTTATCCGTTCCTGAACAACAAATCATGGTCTTTTCTCCGTGACCATCGTAATCGAATAAACAGAAATCAACTATCGGACCTAGATTGGTAAATGTATAGAGTGTCTCGACAGTGTATTTTTTTGTGCCGTTCGTTACTAGTCGAACAAGACTTGAGTCGCCTTGTGTAGACCCAATATAAAGTAATCCATCACCTAAATTCACAATTGTATGGGGTATCGAAATTTGTCCAATGACGTTACTTGTGATTCCAGATACTTTCATATTATTGATTTCTAATGTTAATACATATAAAAAACCTTCTGAATCTCCTAATATACAATGTTCAGCATCATCTAAAAATGCATGTCTTTTTTTTTTAAGAAAAAAAAATAAGTTTTCCTTTTTTTTTTTCGCCTGTATATATGTAAAAAAAAAAAGAACTTACGCTGTCACTGTAACTAAATCAATACTCAATTCTTTTGTAGTAATAGATGGAAGAGATAAATCATGATAAGAAATGATATATTCACCAATGGACAATACACCACCGTATGGATCGGGTACAGCAATTAAAGTATGGGTGGTCGCTTCTACTCTGACGGATAATTTGGGAGATTCAGATACTTCGTTGGTACCCGGTTTATATTTAAATATCTTGATTGTTTTTAATTCATTGATTTCACCTAACAAGATGGCCATGGAAGACAGTTGAACACCCCGTAAGGCAACAATGGATAAGATATCGTATTCTCGTGTACGAAGTGGAGAAGGAGTGAATCGAGATAATTTGACTTCCTTTCCTTTTGATTTGACAGGTTCTTTTGTTAAGGGGATAGCGAATAAGAAACCTGTGAAGGCGCTGACCAAGACGGTTTTATGCTTTTGGTCGAAAATAGTAGCAATAGGTTGATCAGTGTTGCGAGCGGTTGTTTCGATCATACCATGTCCTTCAGTCTCGATCGTCTCGGTTCTGGCATTGTAGGTTAGGATGGTGAAACAGTTTTGCTCGGTTAGTAAGAAGATAGATTCGGTTGAGGTTTCCTAAAGAAAAAGAAACTATATTAGAAAATATATATATCAGGGCGAAAAAAAAATGTATCATGATTCTATTTTGACATACTGATAGTTGGGACATTTGTATCGAACTGATAACACCGTATATACTGAACTGAGTAAATAGTTTAATACCGTCTGACAAAATTGAGTATATCTCAACAGTAGAGCCTTTGCTGAAATATATGCATATATTAATATATATATTTCTTTTTTAAAAAAAAAAATTTGTATCTGCTTTCGTTTTTACCAAACAATCAAATTTTCGTTATCTTCACTAATAAATCGACCCTTTGTTGCACATGTTACTGCTGTTGCTGGATTAAGTGTAGTTACAACATGGTGTTTACTCATTGTGAACGAAATAAAGAAATAATTTGAAATATTTATCACGTCGCGCGTATTGAGTTTTTTTTTTTTTTTTTTTTTTTTTTTTTTTTTTTTTTTTTTTTTTTTTTTTTTTTTTTTTTTTTTTTTTTTTTTTTTTTACATATAATTGTCGCACATAGAAAAGCTGGTCACGACTTGTTTCTGAAGAACTATTGTTTAAAGTAAAACGAAAGGTTATATCAATAAAGATCTATCTTAGCTACTTGTTTTTAAAGTCAAAGCAGGATTGTATGTATGCCGAAATAGGATGAGGAAAAACGACTTCTTTTTTTAAAATTAAAAACAAAAAGAAGTATCATAGTTTCTCTCATATCATCCTGTTTTTTTTAGAAAAAAATAAGCCCTTTTGTAAACCGTTGTTTTACTACTGTATCAAAGTTCCTACGCTACGATTTGTATCTTACTGACCTTAGTTATTCAGTTTGATAAAGAAGAAGGAAGTACTATAGACATGAGGTTTTTTTTTCTTGCAGTGAAAAAAACTTTAAGCCAATCAAATCATCGGGAAAAATGAAAAAACTACATTTTTAGCCAAAAATCAACGATCCCTGACCTTTGGATTTTTTCAAAAAATCAGAAATGTATACATATCTTAGTATCCAAAACGTTTTAAAACTTGGCCTTTCACAGATATATGTAGAATTTGATGGTCTTTTCAAAAATGTAAAAATCAAAGCAAAACTATTATGAATATCAATAACTATTGTGAAAAAAGCGACATACAGTTTCTGTTAGGGCAAGTATATTTTCCATATATTAAAAAATAAATCCAAATGCATAGAAAAATGCGCCTTTAATTTCTACATCTTTTTTATATCATATTGTATAATACAATAGTGGATATAAAGGACTTTAATTTGAAAATAAAGAAATTTGGGTCCAAATTTCAATTTTTAGGTCCAAAAAACAGGGAAAAAAACCAAATCAGGATACAGACACATTTTATTAGACAATATAACATTCAAACGATGCAGAATTTAAAAATTAAGCTTTCTATGCATTTAGATTTATTTTATTATACATAAAAAATATACTTGCTCTAATAGAATCCGTGCTTTCTCGCAATAACTATTAGACTTTGTAATTATATTACTTTTATTTTTACATCATTCGAAAGAGCGCCAAATTCTATATCTAATCTAATTATAAACCTAAGCTTTAAAACCATTTTAATTATAAGATATATGTTTTTATATTTTTTTGACATGATTTGATTGGCTGAAAAAATTTCTTCAAAAAACTAAATTTTTTAGAAAAAATCACCCAGCTACCCCCTTTGGATTTTTTCAAAAATTAAAAATGTGAATATATCTTGACATTAGAATGGTTTTAAAACTTAGCTTTCTAATAGTATCTAAAACAGAATTTGATGCTCTTTCAAATGATGTAAAAATCAAATTAAAATATTTATAAAAAGTAATAGTAATTGTGGAAATATTAAATTATAGTCTCTGTTAGGGGAGGTATATTTTTTGCAACTAAACATTTAGGTTTGAGTTTATAGAAATATGCGCCATCAAATTCTGGATCATCTGAATATCATATTGTCTAGTAAAATACTTCATATAGAAGGACTTTACTTTGACATGAAAAAACTTTTTATCCAAATTTCAATTTTTTTTTCATTCTGAGCCTTAAAACAATATATGCATTTGTGGTGTATATAGCGGTAGCACGTGACATATGCTTAATTATATTGCTATTATTAACTACAAAAATTCAAGCTCAAAAATAACTGAATGGAGAAGTGGTTTAACTCGTCTCATTCACTCTGAGAAGATCGTCGGTTCAAACCCGGCTTCAGTTACTTTTTTTCTTAAGTTCTTGAGGGTGTGTCCATAGGGACATACCATGATTATTAAATGCAACCTTTTTATTGTAACATTTTTCTTCTGGTTAAGACAAGACATCTATCCCAACCTTGGATATCTTTATAAACATCTTGTTGTTCCCAGTCGGACCAAATCTTTAAAACGTTTTTCATCATATCTTTTCCACATTCTAAAACAACAAAACCATCTTCTTTTACAACGACAGGAGCTATCTTACTTAAGACTTGGTACCATTCGTAACCATTTTCTTTTGCAAATAAGGCTTCAGCGGGCTCTTGTTCTAGAGCAGCCATTTGTTCTTTTTGTTTACTTGTCTTGTTGAAATCCAAATAGGGAGGGTTACATACCAAAACATCGAATGCGATGGTATCGTTGATATGAGACATATCTTGTATACGCCACTCTATTCTTTGAAGATGACCTTTTAAAAGAGCCTGAGCATTTTCTTTGGCTAGATTTAAAGCTTGTTCACTGATATCGATGCCTACACCCGTTGCAGAAGGAAGTTGATCGAGTATTGAAATCAATAAATTGCCACAGCCTGTACCTACATCCAAGATTCTTTGATTTTCTTTATTTTTCAAAGCAGAGACGGTGGCATGAACCAGTGTTTCAGAACCAGCACGAGGAATTAAACAATCTTTTGTGATCTTAAAAGTCTTGCCACAGAATTCTTTTTGTCCCAACAAGTAGGGTAGTAATTGACCTTCTTTTCTTTCTTCTAAATCAATGGGTAAAATGCCAGATTTTTTAATTTCATCGGCTTCGCGGTCTAATTTCAGACGATAGAATTTGGCTTCTCTTTCGACCATGACGGTAAACTTGGTAGGTTCTTCTTGTTGTACATGAATGCGTGTGTTTAAAATGGGGTGAATGAAAGAGATTTCTAAAAGAGATACGCAGAGGCCTTTATCACGATTGGTCTTTAATGGTTTTGTAAAGGTTGAGTTGCCAATGATGGGATGATTTGAATGAAAATAAAATAACTTTCGTAAAGTGGAGTTGCATAAAGGAGTATGTAAATCTAAGTCCAATCTTGAAATATAGTTTGCATGGTTTGATCTGGTTTGTGAAACAATAGAAATAGACTTTAATACATCGTTTGGTATAATTGGTTCACACTCTTCATCTTTTTTGTTTAATTCGGGTTGGAATAATGTCGAGATATCGGTGGTGGGTACGTATCCGTGAGTAAGGATTCTCATTCTTGCTTGAATTTTGTCTTGTTTGTATTCTTTGGTGAGTAAGTCTCTCATTTCTTCGGTTTTTGCTACAATAATCTATACTCGAAGAACTTTTAATTCTTTTTTTCTTTTCCTTATTTCTTTTTTTTTTTTTTAAAAAAAAAAAAACTTGGACTTACTAATCCAGAAGCAGCTTTTTGAATGTCATTGATGCACCATATTTTTTCTCGGTTGCCTTCAAGGTCTTTTAAGGCTGTATTGTATAGAATAGCCTTTTCAAATGTGACAAAATTCTAAAAAAAGAAATAAAGAGTTTTTTTTTTTAATTTTGACATATTTTTAAAACTTTAATTTTTCTGTACCTGTCCTGAAGGTTTCCAGACAATAGCTAAGTGAGGGTCCTCATAACAAATATTAATAGGAACTGTCTTCATTCTTTCAGCTTCTTCCAAAGACTTATTGTATCTAAACTCGATCACGTCGTCCTTTGACAATATACGGCATTCTTCTACAGGCTCTCCATTGACAGAGATCTCCTTTCTTGAAAAAGCAAGATGCAAATTTCTTTGAGACTTTGCGACTTCTCTATGATTTACTAATAGCCAACGTCTGACTCTTTGACCGTGCCCTGACTCTGGTACAGTTACTTTAAGATAATTGATAGTTTTATCTTCCATAATAAGTGTATGTAAAAAAAAAAAAAAAAATGATTGAAAAGTTTTTATTTTAAATATCATTTTGAACGGTCACTTCTTTTGAAAACATTTTATTTTATACTCATCGTATATAGAGAGATTCAAAAGATGAATAAAAATGCTGTTTTATTGGAATAGTAAAATTGATTGACTCAAAATTAATAGAATCTGTGAGGAAGGGATAATGAGAGGGGGAGGGGGGGAAATAATGCAACGGGTGATGATGAGTATATGGTTTAGTTATTATCTAAGAGAGGTCTACGTTGCTGATGATCGTCATTTTCAGTTGTAGGAGAGTCGTCTAATAAATCATAATCGTTTTTCTTCTTGTTGTTTCTAAAGTGTAAACAGCAAAAGACGTATACGATTGATTTCCATAAATTCAAAATTGCAGTCTTGATATCACCAAAAAGACTTGCTTTACCATCTACAATTCTTTCCGGTCTAAGTCTATGATGATTATCGATCAAAACTGTAACACAAGTCTAATGAAGAATAGTTAGATATTTAATCGCTGAAAAAAAAATGAAAGAACTTACCACAACTGCGTTAAGAACACCTAAAGCAGTACTTGCAGAAATCATAAACATGATAATTTGTTGATACATGACAGCATCTTTCATTGGAGTACCAGAAATCAACTGACCAGTCATCCTAAAATGAAGCAAAGAAATTAGAGGTTGAAAGTAAAAAAAAAAAAAAAAAAAAACTTACATTCCGGGAATAGCAATTAAACCAATAACTGACATTTGATTGATTGTAGGTAACATAGCTAATCTTACAGCTTCTACTGCAATCGATTGTCCCGCTTCCCACCGGCTAGCACCAAATGCTAAATAAGTTTCAATTTGTTCCTTACGAGTACCTACACTCGATAGACAGCTACTGATAGCAACAGCCATACCACTCATTGCATTACCTAGCAACATACCCATTGTTGGAATAAAAATCTCGGGTGTCCAAAATGGATCTTGGCCCATAGCATAACGAGAACCAACGATGCCCACTACAAGCGTAGATATACCAGAAGATATTAATACGGATAAGAACTAAAAAAAAAAAAAAAGATGATGAAATTGAGTCCATCATGTGTGTATTGTCGGTTTATTCCCAAAGTTACTTTACCATGCCTTTATATGTTTGTTTGGATTTATTATAAACAGTTTCATAAGCTCCAAGGAAGATTAAAACAACTAGTGATAAAATTTAACGGTTAGTCTCGGAATACAAAAGAAGTTTAATATATACTTTACAGGTCATTAGCATGACGAGTGCTGGATGCCTTGTTTTAAAAACGTCCTCTAGAATAAAACCCTATCGTTTGTAACTTATTAGTACTTAGTCGGACAATGATATTTCGAATAATAGTTTTACCATTAAGGTCAATTGAATTAAACATCGAATAGCGGCTATAATCAAGCTTTTTTCAAGCTGTAAACCTAAAGCAAGTGAGATACCGCCTATATATATGTTTATGTGTCAGTCAGATAAGAGGGGAAAAAATGTTTTTTCTTTTTTTTTTTTTTTTTTTTTTTTTTTTTTTTTTTTACCATTGACCAAAATAAAGGAAGAAGCTATAGCAACGTTAACCCAAGTTAAAGGAGGAGCTGAGCTATGACCAGACTCTTGCTCTGTTGGTTGAGTAACATTTGCTACTAACTCGAACAAAGTGCTATCCATTTTTATGACAAGAAGAAATAAAAAGCAAAATCAAGAGAAAAAAAAAGGCATTTTTTAATTTTACAGCTAAAAAAACGTTCGATTTTGAAGTTCAGAAAAAAAATTTAAACAAATCCATGTACCTTTTTTTTTGTTTTTGTTTCACGATCTGTTTAATAAGGTTAAACTTATTAAGTCATACCATGTTATAGTATTTTATCATTATATGTAAATTATTTTTTATTACTTAGGAGATGAATAAACATGGCTAATTGAATAACGATAAAGAATCTAAAAAAGCGCCATACTAAATAAAAACTATCAAAAGGAACTTGGACAATACGGTTTAACATGCCATGTGTTGGTTTATGTTGTACCATTGTTGTATTAAATTGAAATTGGTGTTGTTTACGATAAGATTCTACAGGAACAATTAAGCTATCATCAATCTTTAAGCTAGGATAGATAACTAGATCTTGTTTAATTTGTTTTCTTGTTCTTTGTTTTCGTCTAGGTGATGATACAGGCTGATCTGCTACAACTACCATTGTACTATTATTTAACTCAAAGTCAAGGGTTTGCAGATGCTGATGTTTATTATTACTGCTGATAGAAGAGGCCATCTGTAATTCAGAATATAAACTATTATTCATCATATTTTGAGGTAAATGGTGATGATGATATACTTCTTCCTCTTCTTCTTCTTCGTCAGAGGAAGGATGACTTGTGGTTTCAGCAATTAAACTAGGTATTTGCTGATGACAATCATTTGTCAAGTTTAGTCTATATTCTTCGATCAAACCAGTTAATTGATGTATATGACTTTGTTGAAATTTAAATTGATTTTCAAGTTGAGTTATTTGCTCTTTTGTCTGTTGAACATGAGTAAATTGTGATTGCAATTGTTTGAGCTCAATGATCGTATCATGGAATTGATGCTGGATTTGATCTTTTGCTTTAAATAATTGTTGATTTTGACTCATCATTTGTTCAATTTTAAAAGACAATTCGTTATAATCATCATCATTACTTCTAATATTAGTAGTAGTTGTATCATTTGTTTGATTAGCAAAATCAATTTCTTTTACAATCATTTTTCTCAAGTATTCTTGACGATAGTCTTCATGTTGTTGAATTTTTTCGTAAGCTTGCTCTAAAGATTGATAAAGTTCATTTACTTGAAATGTTAATTTTTGTTGCGAAGTAATATTTTGTCGGCTGATTTTTTCATTTGATTCTAATGTGGCTTCATATTTCTTTAATAATTCAGCATTTTGAGATTCAAGTTGATGAATAGTTTGTTGGTTATTTTCCAGCTTATGTTTATAATGGTTATCTGATGCTTGTTGATGAATATTAAATTCATCTTGCAAGATATTATATTTTTGTTCAAGTACAGTATTATTTTCTAATAAAGTTTTACCAACTTCTGCTGCA